ATCATATCGCGGGACGGACGTATCGGTACCCCTCGAAAGTTTTTCCGGGAGCTCTCGTCCGAGTATGGCTTTCGTTTTTTTTTTTTTTTTTTTTTTTGCAGAGGACCTTTTTTTACTCGAGAGAGACGAGCAGAAGCTGTAGTAACGATAACGATGGTCCTTACATTGTATATATATGCCATTGATGCGTGGTTTGTTTGCTTTTTTTTCACAAGTGTATCATAAGAGCCGAAAAAAAAAAAAAGATCGGTATTACGTAACAGGAGTGTTTACGAGCGCTTTATTCATTGTCAGCAATAAAAATAACAAGCGAATTGCGCAACGCGCGTATTTTTAATTCCCCAGATTTGTTTCCAGTAAAGAGACTTTGTTTTCAATAATGTATACCTGTATACCACCGCTCTCTCTCTCTCTCTCTCTCCGTCTCTGGATACGAACGAATGAAAATCGGCTTATTAGGACGCGGTTGAAAAAAAAAAAAATACATATATATCCTTGGGGACAAAAAAATAAAATGAAAAAAAGCATATCGATCCGTATCGAGGAAAAAACTCTGACGCGTAATGCGTATACGTGCGCGCGTGTGTGTATATAGAGCCGTTCGAGGCGAATGAAATCATCGGGTCTGTTGTACCGTACGCGCGTAATGTACAATGTATACGCGCACTCAAGGCGAGGCTTATGTCACGTCCCCGCGAGAAATCGTACCTTACGTAGGTGCGACTATTATGAATCCCCTCTCGTGTCGTACAAAACAACAACAGCACCCGCACGTGCGAGCGGTTCCATAAAGAGTTGAGCCGAAAAAAAAAAAAAAAAAAAAAAGAAGCTACACAGTGTATCCGTGGCGAAACGAATTTGATTCATGAGCGATACCTTGGAAGTGTTGGCTCATTAGCATTTGACAAACGCGCTCTCCTGCGATCGGTTTTAATGGCTGTTGTTCGTCACGAAATTAATGGGTGTACTTACATTTGCGAAACGTGTATAATGGCAAAATATTATCGTTTGAAAATCTTTTTTCTTTTTTTTCTTTTTTCTTTTCCATCGTTCAATCAAACAAAACAATACTGATCCCCAATAAAACATGAGTACGTTTTACACATATACAGCAATAAAGAGCTTAAAAATAGACCAACAACATAATATTACATACACGCCAGTTGTTCCTCGTACGAGAGAGTGATTCATGCGTGGAATTAACGATTGTTATATAAATTACACGCGAGCGTGCGCTCACGGTATGCCACGTACAAGACCAATTGGCGCGTAATTCGTTCGATTCGCGCGATACCGATAGCGTACAAATTGTTTCCTAAACAAATTAGCGCTCGATTCGTGTATTCAAGTTTGTCGCGTATTACTCAGCACCTGCTGTATACATTACCATGCACGCGCTTTTCGCGTCAAACCGAAAACTCTCTCTTTCTCCAATGTAAATTTCCTTTGGGTGATTCACCACGCGTGTGATCGTTATTAAAAAAAAAAAAAAAATGTACGAATCACCAGCTCACAGCCGTTTGAACAGATTTCCCGAAGGTAACAAAAGATCGACTATTGTCGCGCGCACGCTATCGAGAGCCATTAATCCACGTGCATGGGTGACGCGAAAAAAAAAAAAAGGAAAAAAGAAAAGGGAGACCGAAGAGGTGCGAAGCGCAGCCCACGCGAATAAAGAAACCCACTCGCGAGGAAGAGAAGTGCAGCGAGCGATAAGACCGGACCGCGGCGTCGCCGATTTTTTCGAGACGGGCGCTACGCCTCCCGATGTCTCCGCGCGTCTCGAGCTCCAGGGATTAGATAACGCGGCCTTATTTCTTTTTTCTCCCGTCCCACGCCAACTGTCTCGTCCCGCGCATTGTTTTACGTAATGTTTTCGGATGCGCTCTTCACTGTCCACCGATTTCGACAGCTTCGCGATCGTGGCGCTGAGAAATCGATTTTGAAAACTATCCTGATGTATACAGTTGTTTTTTGCTGCAGCTTATCAAGCGCAACGATACCGATCGGACGTCTCAATTAAAGCGATACCGATAAGCGAGTGTGTGAAAGTCATTTGTTGAGATCCAATTAATTCGCGGGGATATTTAATCGATTCAATTAATATCGGCCTCGTATCTGCGAGCAAATCTCCTATAAACTTGTGCACACGTAAATAAATAATCCCGGCTTTTTCCCGCATTTACGTAAAAACCCATCGTTCTCTCCTAGAATGGATCGGAGCCAAATGAAACCGCCGGGGGCATCAGCCGCCCGTAACGGCTCTATAGGCGATTGCCGATCGTGTCCAATATAGATCTAGATTGCCGAGTCATGAACTCCCGGGACTACGGCAGCGACGTCACACTTGGCGAAACGACGTTGATGTTTTGCCGATCTCTCCCCTTTTTCACTCGTCACCATGTTGTATGCACTTTATACTCTCTGGTACCGCGTTAATCAACAGTACGAGCAAAAATCTAACGCCGAACCGATTATTTTTCCTTCGCAAAGTAATTTGCAACCAAACCCGACTTGTGTACCTTTATTCTTTTTTTAACGATCCGACCCGTTAGCTCGAAAAAAAAGAAACGATCAATCATACACGTATACGTGGCCTACAAAAGAAAAAAAAACAGAAGCAATCCGCGTAGTCTTAGGAGAAAAAAAAACTCGCTTATATATATATATACCGATCGATCGAGCGCACAACACCCGAATAATAAGAACAATAAATAGCCCATAGAGCAGCTAGGAGTAGAGAACAACACACGTCATCATCATCAGCGTGTCATGATCATCTCGCGCGTCCGCGAAGGTTTAACGTAACACTTTTCTATGTGTACACACACACACACACACACACAAGCGCGCTAGCACGGCTCTTCGCGCGGATAAAAAGCATGAACGGTTACGTGTCCTAAAAAGCCCTGGAGATCAAATCGCTCACCTCTCTTACATTTCAAAAAGATCAATTACTCTCCTCCCCCACCTCCTCCTCCTTCGGTGTGTATGTATAATACATATGGGACGCCGACGTATTTATACACACGCGTACACGGCCTGCGTACGTGAGGTGTATATATATATACGTTTACGTTATAGGTATATGGCCCCGTTTCTCGAGCGAATCAATCGTCCGCCGATCGGTCTACATTTCGACTCCGACCTCGTCTCTCTCCCGCGCTCGGATAAATCCTCCGCGAGCTCCAGCAGCAGTAGAGCATATTTGTATCTGTATATATATATATATGTATGTATGTGGGTACGCTATGTGTGTATATGTTATATATACGTGCATGAATAAAGCAAATAAATTGCACCAGAGACCAGGAAGTCAAGCAAAAGACGAAGATGAAGAAGACGCGGGTGCCCAACAGATATCTATGTATACTCATGTGTGCGCGTATGAATTGAGATAAATACGCGTGTGTGCAGTGTACGTATATATGAATTGGCGAGTGGATCGACAAAACCATCATATATATATATATATATATATAGTGTGCCTATGAATAGTAGTCTAATTGACCCAGTTTGGGCCCCGAGGTTACATGTATATGTATACACCTATATAATACGTATAGGCACTCGTGTGTGCCTGTATGTACTATATACACACATAATGTATGTATATACGTATTTATTATGTATACCAGCTGATATGCACGCTCATATATATAGGTGTTATCGATACGACCATCGAGTGCGCGGATGCAGGGGAAAGCTTAGTCGGTCGGTGTGAGTGTGTGTGAAACCCTTGCCATGCATGCACGCGTTTGTGTATAAGTCGCGTTTAATGTATACCTCTCTTGCGCGTACAGAGTGTATGTATATAGGTACATGCAGATTACAGCAGATGTATGCCGCGCTTCAGAATGTCTCTCTTTCTCTCTCTCTCTGATAACAATGTGTAGGTATGCGAACTCCTTTGAATTTTTTCTCGTATCTCATTTCGTACGTGGGGATATTATACCACGTGCATTGGGTCGTGAGTTAATTTTTCTTTCTTTTTTTTTTTTTTTTTCTTCAACATCCCAAGACATTTGTTTACTTTTGATACTGCTTTCCAGTGTGGAGATTCTTGACAGATGTTTCGAACTTATCATCTCGGTAACAGAGACAAGTGTTTTATCAATTTTCAATCATCCTTGGTTATTATTATTATCATACCGTCATTTAATACCAAACAGAATAAATTTTTACCAAACACCATCACGCAAAGGTTAAAAAAAAAAACAGGCCAATTGTTCGTCCCTACGATGAAAAGTACCATTACTTATTGCTCTGGATTTCCTTTGGTATAAACTCCCGCACAAACAAACTTACCTTGTTTACCACGATTCAGGCACTCGATGTTTTTACCGCTCGCTTATGTAATTTTACAACTCGCGTAAACGCAAACTGCACCATCGGGATATTTACACTCGAGAAATGGTTAACGCGCTCGCCAGCTATATAGAGTCGATGTGCCGATCTATCGACGATCGAGATCGGCTCGTACTTTGAGCAGCTAACAGCAGAGGAGGATGAGGAAAAGTTGAAATGATTTATAAGCACTATCGACTGTCTTTTATACACCGAGCGATTTATCGTGGCATCCTCGCTGGAGCTGGTGAAACTAATACTCTGTTTTATACACACGATGAACCGATTTATCACCGCATAACTCGGAAATCGCATAAATATCGTTAGATGTACGCTTAAAATATTATGTTGAGGTACACACGACGCGTCATTGCAAACAGTAGCAAATGCACGCTCGTACTATATTACATACATACACGTTATTGATGATGATACATCTCAAATATCTTCACTTTTGATGTGCACATATGGACGTATGTACACGTGGGTTGAAGAAAAAAGCCAAACATTAACGTCAATTCCACAAGCTAGTCCTAATTTTAAGAACAAATATTCTTATGCGTGCATACGGAAGCGCTAAAAATGTATATGTGTAACGTCGGGATGAGAGTGTATAATTACATGCTACATGTGTTTGTGGTTTGACCTTGCAGATCTCCAATTTCCTATTGACGTAACGAACGTAGCCAAGGACCACCCGTTTCTGGAGACAGACTCGCTGCAGAGCCTCTTCCGCAGACTCCATGCCCTCAACCGTTGCGCCAACATGAAACTGGACACGCATCATCATACCCATCACAACGCGACTCACGGCAAAAGCGTAAGTATCTATATTTATACGTTTGTCAATACTTTTTTTTTTTTTTTTCCTCTCTTCTTCCATGCCCATACGAAGAAAAGTTATTCAACGATGACTAACGCGATAAAGTATAGGTATTTTCACGAAGAATTTATTTTTTCGCGGTTTACCAAAGGATTTTTATATAAACACTGTTTTTTAAATACATCGTTAAAGATGAAACAAAAAGGTTTTATTACGTTGCCGTAAGGTGGAACAATCAACGTCACCTAATTCCCATGTTGGGGATTCACCCAACCAGAGTATTTTACTTTCCGTGAAATGGTCCATGTACCAATATATCCCATTGTGGCATGTCAAGGCTCAAAATTAAAATGCTCCATTATTCCCTATGTGTGTTTCACCCTAACCAATTTTTTTTTTTTTCTCTAATTTTACTGAGTATACACGTGCCGATTTCCCTTAGAACCCCATAAATCGTCATGTTACCTCACTTTGGCGCATGATTTTCATCCCACGAGAGATACACAAACAAACCACAACCCACAGATCCATATCGTGCCAACTCGTCCTCCCTTGGAAAACAGCAAGAACATCTGCAATCCCAAAAATTTCCCGGAAAATCGGTAAAAACAGGACAGTAACGCCGCAAGAGAGAGAGTCGGTGTCAAGTGCTCGCCGCGCAGCGGGATTCGCTGCCTTTTATTCGGAGACTTTGTGTTTTCCCCGACAAACGATATTGCGACAAATCTGTTTCGGTCGGGTCGAGGTGACGGTTTTTTTTCTCTAGAGCAAAGGGGGGAGTACAGCACCTTTCTTTCATCCGTTCAAGTATAAGTGGTATACAGCTGGTGGGACATTTTCGAAGGTCGTGTAAATATTTGAAATTGCTGGGGAAAATACTTGTACGGTACAGCTGTACAAAACAGTTTATGTTTTATGATACCACATCCGTTGTCGTCTTCTGACGTGGTAAAGTTGGTAAAGGCAGGGTTCATCAGATTTTTAGAGATCGACATCCACCGTGTGAGTCAAGTATAGAGACAAAAATTCGATGTCACACCTAACGAATTTGTAATTCTGCCAAATTATTTTATTATTTTCTAGTTAAATCTTGCTACTACACTTTTTTCTCCCCTAAGTCACGGTACACGGTTGTTTATCACTTTCACATGTGAGTGAAATAAACAATGAAACGAATGAAAGACAGTCTACCAACAACAAAGTCGACGAATGGGGCTCTTGTATACGCATATGTTCATTATACCCCTGCACGACAAGTAGTAGGTACACATACAACAAGCAAACATCACGAGCGTCCGTGGGGGAGGTGGGGGTCATGCTTGTGTAACCGCGCACTTCCTGTACGTATATACCAACAACACAATGGAATGCCAATGCGAGCCGTTCCGTATCATTTACAATACACGTTTTATGTAACGATCGGCTGCCTGATGCATATACATACCACTCGTGTTGTATACCCACACACACAACATCATTAGCGCGACGAGAGATATCTCTATTATTCCGGGGATCGCTCTCCATGCGCGCTATCTTCATCGCGCAGACTTCATTTTTCAATCGTTTTGACGGATTTACTTTCACGACTCTCTCGCGTGCCCACTTTCTTGAACCTTTTCTACGTATGTATATATACTTGTACGTGTACCTACGTGTACTGTTGTACCCACACGATGATTTTCAAAGACGCAATACGATCTCGTTTTTTTTTTTTTTTTTTTTTTTCTCAAATTAAAGTTACATTACATCCCACCGACTCTCGAGGTTTCTCCGTTCCTGCGTGTACTCGAGTGTTACAAAATCTCCATGACAAAACAAAAAAAAAAGAGCAGCGTGTGAAACAAAAGTTAAATCACACGCTCTTACAAAGAGAGAGAGAGAGAGAGAGAGAGAAAAAAAAGAAAGAAACTAAGCACGAGATATAAGCCTCGAGCCGGCGAAAAATCATCAATTATAATGAACTTTCTCCTAGGAAGAACAACGAAAAAAAAAAAAAANAAAAAAAAAAAAAAAAAAAAAAAAAAAAAAAAAAAAAAAAAAAAAAAGCGTCCCTCCCCGATGAAAGAAGAGCCCTGCGAGATAAACACACTCTCGGCTCTTCTTCTATATATAGTCAGAGCGAGCAAAGAGAGAGATAATCAACGACCGATCCCTCGACTCCCCATCCTCTTTGCATACCTATCCGACCCAGTCACTGTGCAGCATATAGGGTGTATATGCATGGTATATACTATGGTTGCGCGTCAATTCCCTCCCGACAACAATGACACATCCGAGCGCTTCTGGTCATTGTCATGCGCGCAGTGAAAGTCCCCGCAGCACTCACCGAATGGCAATTAACCGGCTCCTTCGTCTCAAGTATATGTGTATATATACGCGTTGTACTCGCGGCAATTGCCATCGCAGCCGGTGGAAAGTCCGTGCAGGTGTGGCAGCATCCTCTCCCCCCCCCCTCTCTCTCTTCCTTTCATTGTTGGAAAAAAAAGTGCGTTCGACCAAAGAGGAGACTCTTTTTTCCCTCTCTTGCTTTGCAACGGGTTTTTACAAAATTGCTGCAAGTAGGTATCTGCGTTGGAAAAGCTTTGATTTACGCAGTTGGCTACAGGTACGCGAGTGTCTCCTTTTTTTTTTTCTAACGTAAATGTACAAGTGCCGTGTACGTACTGAAAGCAACACTAGCCGCGAGTTTTGGTTTTTGTGGTTTTACATGTAACTCTACTGTACAGCAGAATATGTGTACGTATCACCAAAAAAAAAAAAAAAAAAAAAAAGGGAGTCCCGCTCTCTGCTTACGCGAATTTTCGATTGATGTCGCACTTTTGTTGCCGCGTATACATTATTAATTGATTACCCCTGCGCGTAACGGTAAGAGTATGTGTTAAAATATGTTTATGTACACGCAAGGCCCCCGAGCTTTTTCTTTATTCCTTTCACGTGTTAATATTTTACACAAATAAACTAAACCGTGTATACGTTGCGCGGGTGATTTATGTCGTATCAAATTTGTCATGTCGCGGAAATGTTCGGCTGATAGACCGGCATTGAAAATTTATTTGTACCACCCCCTCCTTGGCTCGTACGGGTTATAGCTAAGGTATTATATTCCGTCGGGGGGCATAAATTAAATAAATTAACGGGACCCTCAAAACCTCCATTTTCCGAGAGCAACAAAACGAAAGTCGAGTGTTGGTATAAGGCGAGTATCAATCATCCACATTTTTGCGTGAGTGTAATGTTGTACGAAATGTGTGCCGTAAAAAATAGTCAAACATTTGGGTTATCCGTGTCCCACACGTTCGGCTTATCGGTAACGCTCGCTAATGATCCTGTCAGCCATTTCATTTCCATCCAGCGGAGGAGAAGCAAAAAAAAAAAACAACCCCCCCCCCGAGATACATCGCAAGAAAGTTGCGGTGTATGACAAAACTCGACGCGAGCGAGACACGCGCTTACAATAATAACGTGTGTACACGCCGTTTCGCAAATAGAGCGTCGCTATCAATTATCCCGGCGCGCCGCGGAACAACTCGTGTTCGACGATTAGTACAACGCGAGAGAGACAGATTTGAAAGAAGAAAACAACGAGCCGTATACGAATACTCTTACACGTGTCGAAAATCGCGCGCCTCCGCGCTGCGTGTACGCTCCTCGGAGAAATTTCGAATCGCGAGCTTGCCCCCCCGTGGCGAGCGACACATCCCGGTGCTCTTATCGCCAAGCGCGTTTGTCGCTATCGCGGCTTATCGATCTTTATTAATTGCGTGCTGGCAAATTATTTGAGCCGAGGCAGCGCGTGAAAACGACGATAGATCGGCTATCGACTTTCTTTGACCGGCAAGTGCTTTCGATTTGTAAGTGCCGATTTTTTGTTTTTTTTTCTACCGCGTTTTCTTTTGGAATGTGTAATAGAGCAATTTCGGGTATAATCGGCAGAATCGTATAGGAACGAAAATTTTAACGCGGGCTATAAATCCTCGCAAGTGCCTTGTACACGCGTGTATGTGCTCGGTCGCAGGAAGCCGCAACTTACGTGCTTCCAATGCTAATTGCCGGTTGTCGCGGGCAATTATCGACTCTCCGAAAACGCTTGGCTCTCCCTTTTGATGCGATTCCATGTACCTAGTATGAATAGAAAAAAAAAAAAAAAAAAAAAATTGGAGAGTGTGGGCGAACGAGCTGGAGTTTCACGGCCAGGAGCGTCGCTCGGGGAGGGAAAATCGGCACGACGAGGTGTCCGCGGCTGGTGGCGATTTAACGCGCCGTCCGGGCCGTTTTTCTTCCCACAGCAGTCCTGTTCGTCGCGCACGCAGGCCTCGATATTTATGATCCTCGCTACGAGCCGGCTTTTCCGATACCGATCTTTTTATCCACCGATCGCTGGGACATTAATAGCAACCGCGATCGCTCGTCCACCTTTTTCTTTTCTTTTTTTTTTTCCTTTTTCGCCCGACGGAATAAATTTTCATTCGTTAAATGTAAAAGTTAAGTAACGACGGCCGCGCGTTCATTCATTCACTCGCGCCAGCTCGAAAGTGCGTGTGTGTATGCCGTGCGAGAAAGTTAGCGCACGCGCGCGTTATGCATTTTCTTTAATTTAATTATTTCTTCTTCCGTTTTTTTTCCCTCCGCGAATTAAAACGCGATCGCGTGTGAGAGCCGCAAAGTCGGCGGAGGGGGTGGGTCGCGAAAGGCATCGAAAAGAAAGTTCATTAACGATCCTCGAAAATCGGCACTCTAATTTCCGTGAGGACGTTGTTCCCACCTCCGTGGAATCGATGTCGCGAGCACAGCCTCGAATCTTTTTATGGGACCTCCGTCGATCGGTCGAAGAAAACGAAAGGCACACGCGCAAGCTCGCCCGAAACCGAAAGGCGGGAGTATAAAAAGAAGAGCCACGCCGGTCGTAAAGCGAAGCTGGTCGGTATCGCGTGCGCGCTCGATTTTTCGCCGATTTCGAGCGAAAACGATCGAGTTTCACCTGCCGGGGTCGTAAAACG